TTCTATTCTATTCTATTCTATTCTATTCTATTCATCTGATGTAACGGTGTGTGGAAAGGCTCTTAAGGAGGGAGGCGAAGAGATGCTGCCTAGGGAATGATCAGAGAAAAGGCTGAGGAGCCCACAGCTGCTTAACAGGCAAAGAAAGAAAATTAGGAAGGACCCGGCCTAACATATCAGACTATTAAAAGGGACGGTGGGAGACTTGTATTCTCAGACTTGCCAGATTCTGCTAATGTAGCCTGAGAAGAAAGTAGAATTAGATCATCTGGTGATGTTCCCTGTCTGGTTTAACTGCGAGAGCTGGCATTTTATTACCATCCTATTCTCCTACATATGGAAGAAATTAATAAATGATCACATATTCTCCCCTAAAATATTATATACAAAGTTGTGTACAAAGATGATTGCAAGCAAACGTTTCATGTGCCGCCTTCAGAGCTCATGCCGTTTTCCGCCCCAGACAATGCCTTTGAGCATGGACTAAGCATTAGAAACTTTTCCTGATCATTAAAAAAAACATATATTTCAGTCTGGTTCCCATGCGCCTCACAAGCCCTCCAGGTACGTCGTCAGTGGATTATGCAAATGAGCAACCAGCAACAATGCCAATTCCCCTGCAATCAATTGTGAATTATTTCCTATGTTTTCCCCTGGCCAGCATTGTGTGCGCGTGGAGCTTTTCATATGGCAGTGATTGAAGAAACAAAAGATCCTGAAATTAAATAACTGAAGACCAAAGTAGAAGGAAAGAAGCAACTTTGAACTGAACGGCACTGCAGACGTTGCTTCAAGCTTCTCCTTTGATTGAACTGACTGCCCCATATGCTAATTTCACTAAATTTAAACCTCATGATGAAGGCAATTATACCGTTAGTATTAATCTTTGTTAAGAGAAGGATGATTGAGAGATAAATAGTTTCCAGTAAACTGACCGCATTCAATTTCCTACTTTGGTCAAATTCCTTCCAATGTGTAACATTTCGTGCAGTATCGCTCAATCTGAAGGAAGGGAAGATGACTCTTGTATGAATACACCAAATCATGAAGGTTGAAAAAATAAGCTGAGTCTGATCTATTCACCACATTTTTGAGGTGAAGGGAGTGTTTGGTTACATGCAGTCTGAGGAGGACTGAAGAGCAGCTCTTAAAACATGGCATTCTGGGAGAAATGTGGAAAGACTGGCTATCTCAGGTCCCAAATGTACATTGCAAATGTCGCTCTGAAATCAAGCTCAATTCCTGACGCTACATGGCGTAGGGCCATTGCAAAAGACCATTGTATTTTGAGGGGCGTAGCGACATCTCTTGACTTCTAGAAGTGCAGAGTTCATTCTGAGTTAGGATAAGGTTTGACTTGCTTGTCCCAAAGGTTCTTTTTCAAGAGGCAACTGGACTTTCTGGTTTTTCTTTGAAGACCTTTCGCTCCTCATCCAAGAAGCTTCTTCAGCTCTTGAACTGAGCTTCTTCAGAGCTGAAGAAGCTTCTCGGATGAGAAGTGAAACGTCTTCAAAGAAAAACAAAGAAACCCTAGTTGCCTCTTGAAAAAAAAGCACCTTTGGGACAACCAGGACCTGGAGGACAGAGAATCTCCATAGATGTTTAACTTGCTTGTTTTTCACTCTTGTTTGACACATGAAGAAAAGGGGGAGGGGAATCTTCACGCAGTTGTAGGAGTCCCTTAAGATCATTTAGATTGACACCCTCTTATCTGTATGTTTCCCAGGGTCTCGTTTACATCTCAGGATCCTGTGAATTTGCATGAGAAATAGACGCACCTTCTAGCCACCATCAGGACCATGGAAACAAGGCATAAGGTTTTGGTTCCAAGTCTTGCTAAGACCCTGGCGTTGCCCTTTGAGCTGAGAGCTTCAAGCAAGACCTGGCTTCAGGGACTGTGTGATTTGGCCTTTTTGGGGCCTCTCCACTGTTATTCCACTGGGCCTTCCTGGATTAAGACACCTGATCACCTCACATCGTGCTTTTGTGCTTCTGTTTAAATCTGTCTGCTAAAATTAATAATGTGTTATTAACAAGTAATATGTTAATATGGAAGAGCTCTGCCATTGCCTTCTTCTGAGATGCCTTTCAGGCTTTCCAGTCCTGGAATTTCCTTAAGGAAAAGCATCCCAAGTGCTAACCACCTCTCCACCTGGATAGCTTTCTCTGAAATTAACCCTGATTAGCTGCACGCTGTCATTAGAGCGAATGCAATCAGCTTTCCTAAAAGCTAGAGTGAAAAAAAAAAAACTTGACATTCCGGATTGGAGCACAGCTACGACTCCACTGAACTATCTGGTTCCCAAATTACAAAATCTACCTGGATTTTCCAAGTTCTCAAATGAGTCCGGCCACCCAGACTGAACTCCGATTTTCTACTTTTGGGTCCCCTGAAGGAGGTTTCCTTTCTCACCAGGCAGCCAATGGACGTGAGCATTTCTCCTGCGCTTGATGAATGCCAGGGAAAACTTCCAAAAGCCCACAGAGTTTGACGCTGGAACCAGGAGGGGCTCCCACCCATCGGCCATTGGTCAGAGATACCACCACTTGGACTCCTGCCCAGACCAGGGGGTGGCCGGACGTGTCTCCAGCTTTAGCATTATATGAGTCTCTCAGCTCCTGCCTCCCACTTCTTCCCTTCCAATAGCTCAGCTCTGATTGTCTGACAACATTTACAAAATGTTCCCAGATTGGAACAGATATTCATAAGCGCTCCCCTGTAATTTGCAATTGGGGGATAAACATTAAAGGGTATCTACTACTTCTTGGAAAAAACATATTTTTTTTGTTCCCATTGAGAATCTTGTAATGGGTGAGAAATAAGTATCCAGTTCCAGGTACTGATTAGCTTTTGGGAAAATAAGCTTTTCTAAACATTATACAGTTTGAATTGCTAGATAACTTACAACCGATCTTCAGAACCTCTCTAACTTCTGTGCTTGTTTCTAACATTTTTGTTTATTTATTAAGTTCTTCTGTTTGGAGGCTTTTATTCATCTGACAAAGAATTCAGAGTCAAATTTTCATGACAATTTGGTGGGTGAGATTAGGCTAAAAATAGGGTCTGTGTATTCACTTTGCAAGCTTATTAATTGAGGGCTTGTTTCAGCTTTCTTTCAAAACCAACCACAAAAAACACGCTGTTCAGTCTTTCATGCTATTATGTTTAATTGCTGAGAAAACTGCCATTAGGTTGATTTAGTAGGGAGCAAGTTTCTACTTTCTTAACATGTCAAAAGAATCCTATTTTTTCATAGTCTAGATGAGTCTTCCCTGCTAAAATTCTGGACTGCCACCTACTGACTACTTTAAACCTGCAGGCATCTACTATAATGAAGAGCAAAGCTGAATAACTGGAGCCAATTTAAATAGGCCGGGTGCAAAAATAATGCTCAGCCATAAATATCTTTAACTTTAGTTTCAGATCAGATATGAGAAAGTCTTGGTATTTCTCATTGAGCAATTCTCTTCCACTAGAAAAAACAGGATATCAATTTTAGTTTTCACAATTTTTCTCCATACCCCAAATATTTTTTTCTATCTCTGATGAATGTTATTGGTCTGAATGTCCCTATTAAAAATTGTATGCAAGGTTGCCAAAATCCTGCAAGATACTTTGCATTCCAGGCGAATAGTAGTATAGAAAATACAACGTTGGTAAACTAGGAGCTGCTTTATGGGAGTCTTCCATTATATTGGTGGGAGGGGGGGGATGAAACTAGCTAGACCAGCGTGTCACTTTGCAAGTTAACAAAACCAGAGGAATCTTAAATCTTTGCGCAGTATGGAAATGCAACCTTTTGCAGTGTTTCCAAGAGCCTTTCTGAAGCTGAGAAGCTAAAATAAATAAATAAGCAAACAGCAGCTACCTTTAGAAATTGAATGCGGCAACTGCCCTGCTCTAGTTATCGTATCGCTTGTCATTAAGAGATCTATCGTTGGGGTAGGTTGAAGGGGTGACACCGAAATATAATTTTATCACATTTTATCTATATCTTAAATCATTGTATTTTATTCCAATTTCATTTTAAATTGCTTTTATCAATTTTCGGTCATAGTTTGTTCCTGGAACCCTGAACTTTGATATGGCCCAAGGGCTCACCCCTCCCTCCCTCCCTCCCTCCTTGTGTTCCAGGGCCCTGTCCATCCCAAGCAACCCTTGGGGGGAGACGGGAGAGAGACCCTGCCTTTTGGTGGTTTGGAGGCCCCTCGGGTGGGTCTTGTTAGGGATAACATTGTTTTACCCTAACTGTTTTGGGTAAAGATAATAAAATGATGAATCATGGTTTGTCAGATAAAGTGTATGTGACTTTAAGCTAAAGGAATGTAATTAAGGGTGCAGCTGTAAAAGTACTATATAAGCAGCAAGGCACTCTCTGGCTCTTACTGGCTGGCTTATTGAAGACTGCGTTCTTGCTGGATCGGGGAGGAGAAGAAGTGTTGGATTACTTTGAAGATATTTCTCAACGGAGAGAAGATAAGTTTTGGACAGATTTATTATATGTGTACTGACATTGGCTATTCAACACGGACTTTGCAAATAGAGTATCCCCGACAAGACTTGACTGAAATTGATATATGACTAATGGACCGTTACATTTGACTATGCTATAATTCTTAAATGGAATAAACTATATTCTTGATAGCACAAGCGTATCTGTATTTTTACTGCGTGTTAACTAGAAAACTTATCTCACACATTTACCTGTCTTCCTATCTGACTTCGCTGCACATTCTGTTTAGTTTGTTTTCCTTAACACCCGTTGGAGAATCCAGGCTTAACAGGTCTCTCGGTCAGAGGCTCACCTGTCCCGAGAAACAGGACGTCGTACTGTCCGTCTTCGGCCATGACTCGGTCCACCACGACCTGGGTCAGCCGGTGGTCCACGTTGACCTGGGTGAAGACCGGAGCCCGGCCCACCGGCTGGGCCGCCCTGTGCATCAGGGGGTGCCGCTTGATGAAGCTAATGACGTCATCAGGGAAGTCCCGGGTGGTCTTGACCGTGGGGTCGTAGGTCCGGCTCGGACACTGGCGGAGGCGGGAGAGAAGAGGCAGCCGTGTTTAGCGCAGGGAGGTCGGCCGCAAGGAGCAAAGAGAAGAGCTCTGGATATACGGCCATCATGCTGGTCCGCTCCAGGACGACAAGTAGTCCTCCAACTTACAGCAGTTCATTTAGCAACCGTTCAACATCACCCCCCCAAAAAAGTGACCTGTGACCCTTTTCCACACTTATTGCAGCCTCCCCCCGTGATCAAAATTCAGACACTCGGCAACAGATTCGTATTTATGACGGTCGCAGTTTTCCTGTGATTTTGCGACCTTCTGACGAGCAAATTCAACAAGGAGGTGGATTCACTTAACAACCATGTTACTGACTTAACAACCGCAGTGATTCACTTAACAACAGTGGCAAGAAAGGTCATAAAATGGAAGGGGGGAAATCACTTAACAAGTGTTTTGCTTAACAACAGAAATCTGGGGCTGAGCTGGGGTTGTAAGTGGAGGATTACTTCTATTATGGCCGCCCTGTCCTTGTGCACCCCCCCATTCTCAGGGCCCCCCTTTCCTTCCAAAGTCCCAATTCCAGGGGTGGAGAGAGAGAGAGAAGAGAGAGGAAAGGGGGAGGAGGAGGAGGAGGAGGAGGCCTAGAGAGCAGAACAGGCTACCAGGGGGTTGGATCACTGGAGCGGATCTGCAGTTCAAACACATCCATGGCTGATCGTATTCGGTCCTGTTCCCCAGTCATTTCAGGGTGCGTTTGCCTTGCTTCTGAACACACCCCGTCTGTTCACACAACCTGCATCTTGTGTGCCCATCTCCCAAAGGCTTCGAGGACACACACAGAACAGAAAAGTTTAACTGGTGTCAACTGGGAATCTGTCCCGGCGGTGAGAAAAAAAAAATTTCTCATCTAAATCTGAAAAGTTAAATGACTTTCCTTGCTGCTGGTTTACGCAACATATTACAACCGTCCCTCACATGTGAAAATGCCCGGCTCTTGGCGGTGGTGGAGGATATTCTTGCCTTTGTCTTTTGAAAAGACACCGCACTTTATTGTCTGACACTGTCAGGGAAAGAAGCTCCTGTTCTTGAATCCCCCAGTACCAGAGGGATAAACAACCAGGCGGATTCACACAGACTCCGTTTCCTGCGAGGTCTCCGCCTTAGCCAGGGACTCGTTCGAGGAGTTGCTCTGGCACTGCCAGCAGCAAACCTTTCATTTCATGTCGTTGAAATCTAAGCTGAGGGTCCAGCCAGTCTGAATTTACTCTGATGTCTCCGTTAACTATTTTTCATCAGTTAATCAATATCGCCCTCTTCTGGCTGAAAAGCACCTGAATCCTGCGGAACTGTATTCAAAAAGATTTATATGCATAATCAGTCTGTTCATGTCTCAAAGGCCTTACAAATGCTTTCGTTACAGTAGCCTCCGATGTGGCTGCTGCCTTGGAAAATAATACGGTATCTGAACATCTATAGACAGATTGTCTTAAGTCCTGATATTTACATTTCTAACATTGGCCTGTAACAGAGGCCTTGCAGAGATGGTGTGATCAAACTTATAATAATAATAATATTATAATGACTATCCATGCTCCAGAAATAAGCAATATTAATCTTTCAAAATGGATTGACGAAATATTGGTCTCCCTGGGCCTTATTCCTATTCTGGATCAAGTTCTCCATATACCAGGTGCTATCTGGGTCCCCATTTTCCTAACCTTGGAAGGAGGGAAGGCTGAGTCAACCTTGAGCCAGTCAGGATCGAACTGCTGGCTGTGGGCAGTGAGTTAGCCTGCGATGCTGCATTCTAACCACTGCACCATCACAGCTCTGAATTAATCCAATAGTTTTGTTGTGCAATTTGGAGAGTGTGCAGGTGTGCCAGGTAGCAGGGATGAAAATGTTAACATTGCTCTGGTTTTCAGAATCCTACTACAACACTCCAGCCAGAAACTCTACACCAGTGAGATGAGGAGGACCATGACTTTAAGGCAGCATTTCTTGGCAGCTTTAAGATGGGTGGACTTCAACTCCCAGAATTCCCCAGCCAAGTCCACCCATCTTTCAAGCAGCCTGAAACATCAGCTGGTAGACTTGCTTATTTATCTGTGACCCTAATGGATCCTCCATCATCTTCTCTTAAATGGATAATGCCCAAGGCTCCCAGGATTACATACAAGAAACCTCTTACATGAAGCAGATGGACAATTTGTACAAAGTTGGAGTTGATGGATTCACAGTTTTGACACAGATCTTTCAAGCAAGTCCAAGCTGCCACCCTCAGGGCCAAATACACCATGTGGCAGGTCCATTATGATGAAACACAGGCAGAGTTGGTGGTTTCAGGACGTGCTTGAGCGATTTGGCATCGCTTAGAGAACATGATGCATGTTGAAACTATCCAAAAAACCTGGACTGAAACTTCTGAGTTGTTTGTGTCCATTTTTAAAAAAATACCCCCAATTGTTGCCTAATGGTACTTAGGTAATTTTATGGCAGAGTGCCACTTGCATGTTTAAGTACAGGCAAGTGATTTGAACTTTGGGAAGTCAGGAGCATTTTTTCTGATAGGGATTGGAAAATCAGATTAACAGATGCAACAACTGTCTTAATACAGTTTCTCAACCTCATTGGTCTGGACTTTAGCGGGCTGGAGAATTCTGGGAGTTGAAGTCCAGATGTCTTAAAGTTGCAGAGGTTGAGAGAACAGTTTGGCCCAAGATAGATAGATAGATAGATAGATAGATAGATAGATAGATAGATAGATAGATAGA